AGGGCTGGAAAATCTGTGCATAGCAAATCTTTGCCCCCCTCCCACCACACAACGTTGCATAGCTCCTTGTCTGGCAGAAAGCTGAAGAGCAGGTGTTAGTGTGAGCCTTTCACATGCTTCCTCCGTTGCTCATGACGGATGATTCCAGCACTTTAGAAACTGAGGGATTAGCCATCCGAGAGGTGAGGCACCAGCAGCTCCTATGGACTTCATGTGAAATTATGGATCCATGCCAAAAACCACAAAAGGAAAGCAAGCCTCAGCCTTGCTATATGCTCAGAGGACTGCCTGCCCTGAGCAGCAGTGTCTACTTTGGCACTGCAGAGCATTGTTATCTGCTTATTTATGCCTACATCACTGTTGTTCTCTTTTAACAGGAGGAAGCAGCCTGACAGTGGCACTGTTTTTCATCCCAGCTCCCTCCTTGCATGAATCTGAGTACCTTCCATTATCCATGGCTGGGCAGCAGTAGCAGAATTGCTAAGGATCTAAATTATTCAGCTTCTGTTGCTGGCTCAGCTTTAAAACTGCATTCACGTTTCCTAAGATAACAGCTTGTTGACCAGAACCAGGGAGCCTGGCTGCTCCTCGGAGCCTCGGCAGGTGACAGGAGCACGGGGAGTGTTTTCCTCTGTAAGCAGAAAGGGGACATGCTGGTGTGAGGTGAACCCCAGGGTACTCTTGCCCTTGTACCAGGAGGGCACAGCAAGCACTGGGAGAGGAGCAGCTCTCCTCCAGCGACTTCAGCCCTGGACCCGTCCTGGCATCGTTTCTTTGGGGTGAGCAGCAGGAAGGGCTGCACTTCATTCCCTGAGCAAAAGCACACGCAGCTTCCTCAAAATATTGAAGCCCGCTGTTAAAGAAAGTTATTTACTGTTCTCCAAGGTAATGTGTTTACCTGTGTAGCTGCCTGTGCTACACTCCCCGTTCCCTTAAATGAAAGGAAAAGAACAGCTGAGAACAGATTAGCAGCAGCCAGCAAAGTGTCTGGTGCTGGTGCTGGGAGATCACTTCTCTAGTTACATGGAAGATAACAACACAGAGGAAGGAGCCTTGCATTCCTTCACAGCTACATCATAGTGCAGTTGAAGAGTTTCTCCAAAGGTCAGAGGCAGAACTTGCTATCTTGAAAAAACAAAACTCTTTGTAGCCGAAGGAGTAGTTTTTTTTAGAGACCTCCTCTTTCTTCTAAATTTCTGACGGAGAGCTTCTCTCCGCCCCACCAACTCTGTCTGCAGTTGCTGCTGGAATTCTATGTTTTTATCTCAGACATAAACCTGGAATGCAGTGGTACTCAGGGCTGCTGAGTCTCATTCCAGGAGCCATCTCAGGACAGCAGAGGGAGAAATTATTTTTCCTGTGGGTATCATAGATATTATAGCATCCAGGGAACAGCACTTAAGACATTACTGGAACCCTGGCTCGCAAAAATCCCCTGAAGCTCAGGGGGGTGCACACTGGCCCAAGTGGGAGCTGACAGCTATTATTCGCTGTAACTCTTGGCCACTTTTTCTCAACCTGAGTTTGCTCTTTCTTGGAGAGTATTCCCGTTGTGTCCATTGTAAATAATTTCCCTTTGCAGAGCTCCAGTTTTACTCTGTGTTAGCTTTTGTGGGTGCAACATGACACTGACCTGTACAACCTCAGAGGCCTTTAAGGGTATATGTGCTCAGATATCACTAAGGAGAGGACACAGTATAAAATCTTAGGGAATAAGCAACCCAGCCAATCTCAGTTCAGGGTCTGGAAACAAGTAAGTGTTAAGCAACTGCCTGAGACCTCAGTCTTTTGAGGTGTTTCCATGGAAGTGGAAAGAGCTCTTGGGATTAAGAGCTATTAATTTATTAGAGTATTTGTTATTTTTCAAGCTGTCCCAGGCTCTGGTTCCTCAGACAGGATTGTGCCCATACTGTTGGTTTATCCAGAACTGCAAGCTCTGTCAAAGACGTTAGTTAGGTATAACAGGCAAGATAATGGTGACAAACTGCTAGTAAAGCAAATTGCTCTAGGGTATTAGTTTTCAGCACTGATACATGCAACTCACATCAACTCACCTGCCTGCAGTTAGATAGGGGGAACTTCAGAGATGCCTCAGGTGAGGCGGTAATGAGTGAATGAGACCTAGTAGAGGGTTCTGTGGGAAGTGTTCAGAAAAATAAGATTAACAAGGGACAGCAATTAATGTAGCAAAGAGAACAGGTCCCTTAGAGACGGAGCCTGCACCAGCTCCACGAACAGCCAAGGAAAGAAATGGTTATTAGTGTATTACATACTTCAAGGCCAAGTGCTCTGTTCTCCCCCTTCTCCAGGGAAGGGAGGAAGCAGGCACGTACCTGCCACCTCACAGGACCCTGTTTGCTCATGCTCCTGCAATCGCCTTCTCTTCTAGAGCTGTAGAAATGTGACTGATAGTAGAGTTAACTCTGTGAGCTCCGTACAGTTGCCTCAAGACAGGTATCTGGTGCCCTGTGATATGACCGTCTGCCTCAGCTGCTGATCCACGGGTCGGCTACAGACCGGTACCTGCCAGCCCATGTGGATGTTGCTGATAGTCTGGGGTACCTCAGTGACCCAAGCTCTTGCTGCCTCCAAGCACCTCCTCCGAGGTACGAAGAAGTCGCTGGAAGGCTGTTTGCAGGCAAAACTCCAGGTCTCGGTGGGGGAGCAAAGGCTTCGTGGCTTGGTCAGGCTTGCCAGAACCATGCCTGGTAGTAATGTTTCTCTGTCCCTCGGAGGAGCTCTGGCCTGCCAACATCCCTGTCAGGGGTTCTTGAATTTAGGCGCTTTTCTTATTTCTCACGGCTGCAGAAAAGCTCTGCCTCAGTGGTGGGGACTTAGGGCAATTCCTTCCTACCACCCACCATGTGGCCTGTAGGTATGTGCCAAAGCACCCCGCGGTTACCATTACGGTACCCCACAGGAACCACAGGTATTTTCTGCTCTGCCCACGGTCGCAGGGTTTCCCTCCCTCAGCCGTGCTGTGGGTCTGTGATGTGCGTGGGGGAATCCTGGGCTGGAGCCAAAAGGTAAGCAGCGCGTTCCCTCCTGCACCGTGCAGGGCTCACCTCTCCACCCTCGTGGGGAGGATGCGGCATCGCTGGGTAGCTAGAAATCTGTAGGACTGAGCCAGTCTGAGACCACTCATCCCTTGCAGCCGAAGGGTTTGCCACCCCAGAGATTATCCTAGCCCTGATTTTGCCTGTAATGGGTTTGTGAAAGTCGCCGCTGCTGGTGCTCACTGGTGCCAGAGGCTGCACAAATCAAAGCTAAATCCCAGTCCCTGCCTGAGAGAGCTCTTGCAATAGAAGTGGGGGGCACCCATTCAGCAGACAGGTGGGGCAATCTCACAGTCACTTTTACACTGCTTTTTCCTGAGGTGTGGTAGGAGGTAGCCGCAAATGGATTGGAGGGCACAGGTCTTGTTTCTAGGACTTTGTCAAGTGTGTATGTTATCCTGATGGCTGCAGGACCTGGAGAAAGTTTGCATTATTCTGAGGCAGCAACTTTGAAGAGGCTCATAAGCTCTGGCTGCTAAGGTCCTGTCTTCAGGGTGCAGAGGACTCATATTTGCATTCATGACATGCAGTTATGCAGGGGGGGAAAAAAAAAAAAGAAGGATCTGAGACATTGATGATGTTGCTCTGTAGTTCAGAGCAGCAACAGTTTTTACAGCAAATGTGTGCCAGCCAGCAGTTGCAGTGCCCATCCTTTTGACAATTAACATTTGAGCTCTACCTGAACTAGAGGTGGAGTCTATTATAGCTCAAATACCAGAGGGATCCCAGACTTCCAGGGAAGTGCTGAATTGCACTGGACGATGGGAAGGTGTTTTCCTTAGACTGAGGTAAGGACTCCGCTTTGCTCTAATACTTCAACGTGGCCTTTGCTCAGTATAAAAAAATCTCAATTTCTGTGTAATGCAAAGCATTTTTCCACCCTAACAGGTTCTCTTGATCTACTTTTCCTGCCTCTCAGCTGATAGACACTTTCCCAGTGGCGGGCTGGGCTGTTTCATAGGAATTCCCTAGGGAGATAGAGCTGGCAGAACTATTGTTTTTTCTCTCTGAAGCTGCAAGCGTCACAAGCCGTATTTATCTGTATGCTACCCAGGCCCTTCCAGGCGTGATCACCTCATGGCCTTGTGTTCACTGGTTTGGCCCCAGTGCCTGGAATGAAGTGCCTTGGCCTTCTTGAACCTGTAATTGGCAAAAAAGGGCCAGGTGAACGGTAGCCAGAAACAGAAACCAAGCCACGCGGCTCCCCGGCAGTCCCCCAGCGCTTTGTCAAGACGGCCCCAGTTTCGCATCTGGATCCAAGATGGGGTTAGCGAAACGCTAGCAGAGGGATGCCTCCTGCCAGGCAGGAGAGCCAGGTGAGCATCGCTCTGCGGTGCGTCACCCCGAGCCTGAGCAGGAGGAGCGGGTGGGACGGGAGAGGTCTCCAGGAGGTCTGTTCCTTTTGAACAATTGGTGTGACTCCCTTGCGTGTCTTTCAGAGAGGGCATGCACCAACCACTGTGGACCCCTTGCCTTCTTGCTGCAAGCAAGGATCTCCTGAAGGGATGCTGGAGCAGGAGTCTGCTGTGCAGGTAGAAGGGGGGAAGGGGCGCGTTCATTATATTGCAGAAGGCTCCAGGCCCTGCAAAGGGCCTGGAGCTGCTGTCGCTAGACCTCATTTGCCACGTCAGTTCCATCTCGGTGTCCTTCATTTGGGACTGTGCCCAGCCAAGGTCTGCAGAGACCAGTGAACAATCTGGGGTCTTCTGCTGACTGCCTCTGGCCCAGCCTGCTTTGTGCAGCACAAAACCAAGAGACAGCGTGGTTCTGGCCACAGAGCTCTTTCATTTGGCTTTGTGTTTCTGAAGTTTTACCTTCCCTTGTACTGTTTGAAGAGCAGGCTTCACGCACGTGGGCTCCTCCCCGTTTACAGCTCACAAATATGTTTACGAAGTGTGCCTCAGGCATGATACTGAATGCATCGTGTCCAGCCTGGTGGCCCTCTCCAAGCCCCTGGGGGGGTGTGACAATCTTTAATCTCCAGACTCCAGGCAGGACCCTCGCTGTTATGATGACATGCAGGTTGTATGTAGGGTGCAGTCCTGCTGATAAACCTCTTCCAGACCGGCCGCTCACACTTGGTTTGGCTGTAGCCTTCCAGCATAAGTGGTTGTCCAAGGGTGAGCTGACTTTCTCCTGCAGTGATGACATGCCTGCGTTACTCGAGGGTGAGTATTTGGGCATGGTGAGGGGCTCGCTGGGCAGCACTAGGGCAAGAGGAATCAGGTCAGTTCTCAGGGTGTTTGGTTTGCACGCGGGAGTTTAGGTATATCCCGGCCAGTAACAAGGACTCAAGCGTTGTCTAGAGAAAACAGCCCTTGTCCCCAAAAGGTTGCAGCAAAATGGACCGTGGAATGGCAGCAAGGGTTTGCTGCCTTTCTTAGGTTGCTGGGAACTTGCCTAAGATCGTGCTGGGAGCCAGTGGCAGAGCCTGGCGTTGAATCCAGAATGGCTAGGTCCCCCCGGTGCTGTACTCGCTTCGTCCTTCTCGCCACCGCTTTGTTGGCAGAAGGGAGGTTCCCGCAAGTGTTGTTTTTTTTGCGCTATTGTAACAGGTAAACGTTGATTTCTGTGTTAGCATCTTTCTTATTTTACCCACCCGAAGCTCTGGGACAGGTGCAGAGGATGACGTTTCTTTCTAGGCACAGTGCTGCACTAGCTCTGCTGAGGAGCAGGTGGCTGTGCTGTTACGGCTTTGCTCGCATGGCCTCACCAGGGATCAGCTGGCAGAGATATATTGCCAGGCTTGTGCTTCAGGTGCTTTCCTGTCAATGCTTTCTTCCCTGCATGGCTTCCGGAGGCTGCACCCCGAGCGCTGGCCAGACCAGCCTGGCTGAAGGCTGCTAGCAGTAAATCCATCGCAGCCATGGCGCAGGGACTGTACTGCGACTCCTCACGGCGTCCAAATCCTAGGAGAAAGCCCCCTTCTCGGCGCTTTTTGCTCGTGCAGGCAGGCACGGCAGGTGCGGACTAGCCCTGCCGAAACAGAGGTAGAGAACGGGTCAGAGCAGACCGCAGAAATTCAGAGTGGTTTATAAACATCGCTAGAAAAGAGAAGGAAGTTTCTCCGCAAGGCACTGGGGCAGACCCTGATGGCACCGTCTGGGCTCCAGCACGTGTCCTGAGTGCAAGGGCACTGCCCAGAGCCCAGGGCAGGCTGGAGGCTGGTCTGCAGGTTGTGCCTTAGTCCCTGGCTTGCATCAGGCAGGCTCAGAACACATCTCTGCTTTCCCCCTTGCACTGGCAACCTGCTAGAGCCCTCTCAACTCCCCATCGTTCATTGCATACGCCTGCCTGAGACGTGTCATGGTCCAAGGAAGGAAGTGTATTAGGACAGTTGGAAATAAAAAGCAGTTACAGGGCTGCTGCATCTCTCTCAGCAGCTGTAAACCCTGTTATGTTGTTAGAAGAGGTGTAGTGCCTGAGCAAAAAGCTCTCGTGTATTGTCTTCAGTCACAGTCTATGTATTTTCTGGTGAGATAAAAATAGCTTTTCTTTTTCAGGATATCGCAGAGAGCAGAGGCTCCTGCTAACATCAAAGGAGAGTGACAGCTTTCCCCTGGGTGCGCGTGGCCTCAGCTGGCAGGAGCAATAGCTGTGTTAATTCTTGCCTTGCTTTGGCTCTGTGTGAAAGGAACAATGTCCTGGTCTCCAGCTCCCTGTTCAGACCTCTGGATCAGCCCCTGTTCCTCTCTCCGCTCACTGCCGCTGGACCCAGCACCGTACTTCACTGGGGAAGTGATGGTTTGCAAATGACAGAACAAGATCTTGATGCTACTACTTAGAAAATCCATTAGTAGCAGGTAGGAACTGACAGAGGCGAGCTTTCGTAGAGCTGTAGGCTGTAGCCCGAAGGGATCATTATCAGAAGGGGCAGCTGTGTAGGTGCAACTCCCAAGTCTTTGCTAAATACAGATTAAGCTGCTTCTGATACGCACTATCCTCACTGTCCTGAACCTATTCCAGCTTCAGCAATTAGCAAAGAGGACCTGTGAGGGGGGGGGGAGAAGGCAGCCAAATGGCAACACAGATGCTGTCTGTGTCTGAATATGCTCAGCAGGGACCGAGTTAACCTTGGCCCTGAACTGTATTACCAGTGACAGTTCAGAACTCTCTCTCCTGTTAAGAGTGCATAAAAATGGGCTTTCCAAAAGCTAGTTACTCGTGATTATGTAATGATGGAGGATTGTGCATGATGGAGGGGCCAGTCTGGTGCCTGCGCCTGGAAGCTTCCCCCCTCTTCAGTACTTTCAAAACGCTAATTGACAAGTTGCCTCCCTTCCCACAAAACCTGCCGGGGCCCTCCTTCTTTTGCTTTGGGATTTCTCCTCTGCCAGTTGTGCTGAGTTCTCTTCTAGCTCTAACAGCTCCTTGCCGCAGGAACGTGAGCAGATCTTTCCTTTCCTGCATGCTCTGATTCACCTGCTGCAAGATGGTTGGGCTCTCCCTTGTATTCTGGTCTGGGGATCTCTGCCGGGCATATAAGCCATCGGCCTCTGTGGTACCTGCCTTGGGGAGGCCTGGGGCTATCATGAAATTTCCACTCAGCAGAAAGGAGCATGGACAAAGGGTTTACTCAGGCTGGTGCGTGAAATGAGAACGAACTCACTTGGCAGATGCCTCCCAGAGATTACCTCTTGTGCCTTGACTCTTATCAGTCCTGTTAAGATCTGCAGACCTGTCCTAAATCATGTGGGCAGAGGTGAGGATGCTTAGAGAATAGAACTTGGGCATATGGACTTATCCTTTTATCTGACTAATTTTCCTGATGCTTTTGCTCTTCTCTTTCATCTGGGCTTGCAGTATGTGCCTGGTAGCCTGTTCTCTGTGCTCTGCTGGCTGCCTGCCTGAGGCTTTGCTACTATGGCCTCTCTGGAGATGCTGTGCTCTGCTGAATGCTTCCTTCTACTCAGAAAGCAGAAACCTGCCCGTAGGTTTTGTTTCCACTGCAGGGCCCACCGAGAGTGTCCCGTTTCTGTCAATGCAGATAGGAGAGAATGTTCCTGTACGGTGGTCAATGTGATTTCTGTTTCTGGGCATTTTGAGTTGAATCTCCGATTCAATTTTCCTAATCTTCCCTGATCATCTTAGAGAGAGACCCTAAGTGCCATCTTTAACTGCTTTTAATCTTAGCAGCTGTTTTAGTGTGTTTCCAGGACTGACATATTCTTCTCATCTGATGAGAAAGGATCCAGGTTATCACCTGCAGACTTGGGCACTTGATGTCTGCAAGGCAGGGAGGTCCAAATGAGCTCTGGCTCCACAAAAATCCCTAGGTTGGGCAACTGCTGAAAAGTAAACCACTACACTGATGTAAGGTTTTGCTGTCTTTGCTGGAAATAATGCCTCAAAGGTGAGGATAATGCCCACTACTGGACACAAGCCCACGTGAGCAAAGAAATGTCAAAGCAAATTTCAAGGGCTGTTGCAAGGTTTATTGTGCTACCTCCCCAGCTGGCAGCGCTGACCTAGGTTCCAGCACCCTGGCGCTAGCAACTGGAAGTGACTGGATGACCTCCTAGATGTGAGTTGGACCTTTCCACACCGTCTAGGTAGGGTACCCCCAGCAGTACATGGCTTTGGTGCCAGGATTCAGGTTTGCACGTCGCTGCCGGTCCTGGGGCTCTTTGGTTGTTGGGGTGATTGTGTGCTGCCCAGCCTGCCGGGTGTTTCCTTGCTGGACCTCCTCTGTTCTCTGCTCCATGAACCCATGTCAGTCTGGCTCTGCTTCTGCCTGTTCACTGGCAGACTGGCCACATACAGGAGGAATTGTGTCTCCTCGGCAGGGCTGAAAGCCACTGCTGCCTCCCCCAGGTAGGCCAATGGTAAAACTGTGCCTTCCCCTGAGCAGCAGCACACGAATCTCAGAAGGGATTGTGGCCCTCCTGTTGCTGTTTCTCTGCTGTTCACGCAGTTTGCGCACCCCAGTTTGCAAGATGCCTCAGCTGACCTTGCTTCTAATGTTTGCCAGAGGAAGGGTGGCACGTTGCTCCTGATAAGGGGTCAGGAGCTGCTAAGCTCCTTGCTGGAAGGAGCACGTGGCTTCCAAAGAATACAAAAGAGATTGAAGATGCGGAGTTATCATTCGTGGCAAAACTCAGAAGACGGCAAGAAACCTGTGTAGTGGTGGTACTGGGCATAACTGCTTTCAAGATCTTTGCTATAGAACAGCCATAGGAAGTTTTTCATGCAGCAAAGCCTGCTGCTCCTCACTGGCAATATTTTCCAGTAGGTAGGCCTGGAAGAAACAAAACTGAACGAGTGCCAGTGCTGGCAGGAGGGTGCCTGCCCCAACGATGCTGTACATGGGCCTGGTCTGCATCCTTCTGCCTCTGGCATGCAGGGACTAAGGGAAAACCACGACACAGCCAGCTTTCCTCTCTTCCCATGCAGGCATCAGTTGTGTGGCTCAGCAGACCCAAACTTCCCGGCCACTGGGTCTGACTGCCATTTGGCAGAAAGCATTTTGCTCCCCAAGGTATGGGAAGTAATTCGTTACTTGAAAATCTGCATTGCAATTCCTTTCCTCTGGTGTAAGAGCAGCACTGTTCTCCAGTGAGACCAGAGACTCTGAAGATACGTGGCAGAGACCAGGGAAGGGGAAAGGCAGGGGCTGAATGAGAATTGAGACTCTGGGAATTCCCTGTAGCACCACACGTTTCAATTGCAGGGCAGCTCTGGCTGTGCGATACCTCTGGGTAGAGAGTGAAGAAAATACAGCCCATTTCAAAAAAGCTCACAGTGACTGCAAGCTCCCCCACTCTTCCCTCTCTGTAACTAGTCCTTGCAGCTCTTCCAACAGAGCAGGGAATCAGCTGGTTTCAAGCATCAAAGCACTTTGTTTCTGCAGGCAGTGAGAAGGTCTAAGGGATGCTAGCAGCCTCTGACGGGGTGTGCTGCCCCTCACCTGCCTGTACCGTGGCCCGCTGGCTGTGCAGCACAGGCAGGACTGCTCTCCAGGGACTGCTGGAGTCAGAGACTTTTTGGAAAGGGCACCCGGTCCCTTTCTTCTGGCACCTTTGGCCCTGGCCGTAGCAGGACATGTTCCCAGGCAGTCCCACAGACCTGTGTGCGCATCCTTGCAGTGAAGGGGTCCCACCTCCTCTGGAGCTCCTCAGCAAGAAGCCAGCTAAGCCCTTCCTCATGTCAGGTGCTATATAAATAATAGAAGGACTTGCAGTCCTTGCTCAGGCTGCCTCATCGCTCCAGCAGAAGACCTGCAGGTAGAAGAGACAAGTGGGCAGACAGGGTAAAGAGGGCAGAGTAGCAGGATGCATGTGTGCCTTTTTCCAGTCTGGAACAGCGTGGCGACTTGCTTCTTGCCTGTCTTTGTGTCCCAGAAAACACTGTGAGATCAGCACAAGTCCCTGAACTCATTTGCACTTGGGAATCATCTACTTGCAGCATTTAGCAGCTTGTGCAGAGTGGGCTGCTGACAAATGTGGCCACCTTTCACAGAAGGAGGCAATGGTGAGACCCTCCCTTCCTTATCAGCGATGTGCAGATGGAGCTGGAGAGACCTCCTCCCTGGGTGGGAGTGAGAGAAAAGCACTGCCAGAATTGATTAGAGCAGGACTCCCGACACAGCCAGAAGACAGAGCAGGATTACTGAACCTCTGACTGTAGCCCTTGAAATCCAGCCTGAGCCTCTGGTTTGGCAGAGCTTCCCCTTTGCTTATTGCCTTAGCCACGGTTACAATGCAATGGGCTTGGTCAGGTCCAGGCTTCTCACGTTGGGGTGAAGGGGCTACGACATGCATCCAGTGCCAGTAACGCTTTGCGGGGCGAAGCTGTGAGAGCAGAAAGACGCCTGTGAATAGGAACAGCAGAAGCCACTAATCAGGCCCAGGAGAGAGAAAGGGAAAGACTTAGATTGTCAGCAGACAAGGGGAGCTTTTTCCTGAAAGAAAGGGAAGGAGAATAGAAGCACAGTCCGATGTGCTGTGCTATGTTTTTTCCTTTAGAAGGTCTTGGAGCACTTTGCAAAGTCCAGATCTGAGGTTTCTCCCTCAGGGAATTGCTGGCAGCAGCCTCCTGACACTTCACAGCTTGAATGTCCACAAGTCTGTGGAGCACAACACCTGTATGTAGTATTTAGCAGTAAGAGTGCACGAGGTACGCGACGGCAAGCGTGGCAGTTTATTTTCTCCCCCGGAATAGCTCCTTCCTGGAAAATTGCTAGGAAGGCAAAGGAGAAGGGAAACACACACTACAAACTCCAAAGAAAGGAAAACCAGTAGAGGCAGTCTCTGCATCTGGAAGCAGTTGCTGTATATCCTGGGGCACATGGATAGCAAGTGACTGCATGTGCGTGTGTGTACAAATACCCGGGGGGTGCATGTAGCATGCCCATGCTACGCTTTGTGCTTATTAGTGGATGGTAACTGTGCAATGTGTGTGTGTGTCTGTATTTAGGTACATCGGTGTTGCGCTGACTGGGATGTGTGTGTGTATCTTTTCAATACGCACATCTCCTTGTGTCCGTAGGATCTCTGCATTTCTTGCTGTCACCGCTCGCTTTTGCTGAAATTCAGGAGATGGCAGTGACCCAATCCATACTTCAGTTCCCTGGCTAATCTAGCGTTGTCTCGATCACCCCAAAGTAAAGCGAGCTGTTGTGAACGAATGCCCCCTGAGTGATAGGTAGGCAGTCCCAACATGCACGCTGATATCAGAAGGGCGATGTGACTGCAGATCTAGTTCCTCTGCTTTTACCGTTTGAGCTGCACTATCACTTCTCCTCTGGCCGCGTGTGTTTTCTGACTGCTGGCGTCTGATGTCCTGCATCATCTCTGAAAGGTGCATGCTGAGCATGGGGAGCAGAAGGGCAGCGCCTCTGAAGCACTCAAGCCTCAGCACATTCTCCAAGGCCCTGGCCCCAGCATTCAGAGGGTCAGGAGGGAACCGCGACCCCTCTCCTCCGTGGCAGGTGTTACCTGTGAAATGCCAGGCTCCCGGGCATGTCTGCGGGGCTGCTTTTTCTCTGCCGTTCCCGAGGTGGTACCTGCAGCTCTGACCCACTCCCTGCACTTGGCAGCAGTCATCCGCTTTCCGGAGGCGGCTTGGTATTAAATATCCTGTCTGACACAATAATGGAGAGAAAATGAACAAATTCCATTAGCGGCTGGCGATCCCTTCAGGGTCTGTATTGGAGCGAGGAGGGAGCCTGTATTTTTAGATAGAATGCAATGTAACTTACTGGCGCTCTCAAAGCTGGGGAGTAGATAACTAAGGAGGGAGAGAGGGGACACCAGGCTCAGGTTTCAGCTGAAGTGCTGGACTATGGCAGCGCGAAAGGGCAGGTCCGGTCCAGACGTGGCTGTGAGTATACAATGCACTTCTCCTTCGTGCCCACAGAGACCTCCGCTTTGCTTTTCTGCTTGCTTTCTGCCTGTAGTCTCTGCTGCTGGGCGTGCTGGGGCTTTGGGAGCCCCTTTGCTGCTGGAGCCTGTAGAGTTTTACCATTTTAATCTTCGCAGCTCCATGTGCGTCCCGTGGGTGGGAGAGCCTGGCTGAGCTGTGCTTTGACTTTCCAAGGGGTTCGCTGGCGAAGGTCTGTGCTGTGGCTGGCATGCTGGCAGCATAGCTGAGGTGCTGCCCTGTCATTGATCCTGACCTGAGATGCAGAGGCTTCTAGCAGGGTCTGGAGCTGGAAAAGCCCTTCGCGTTCAACCTGTTGCTTGAAGCTGTCAGTGTTTCCTTGCTAGACCCCAGGCAGCGCGCAGGGGCTCAGAGCACAAGCGTGCACTTCTAAGCACGGCGCTGGTGCTGCCTTCTGCCTCTTACAGTAGATCATCCTGTACGAGCGGAGCGCGGAGGTGCCGCGTCGCGTCTCCTCTGTGCTCACAGCCCTCCGCAAAGCCGACAGCTCTGCTGTGGATCTGGGGGCTCTTTCCAGATGGGCAGGGCTCTCCTCTGCGGTGGTAGCAAGTGAAGCCAAGCTGGCACAGGAGCTCAGGCGACCGGCACGTGTTGCCCCCCGGCACGCGGAGGCTGCGCACCGGTACGGGGCATGGTGCTGCTGCCCTCCACCACGTGTCCCTCTGACCCCGTGGGCTGCCCCAGAAAGGGGCCGTGGCACCCGGCCGCTGCTGCAGAAGCCTGGGCTGAGGTCTGCAGGGTATGCCCGGCACGGTGGGGGGCCAGGACACCCTCCTGTCTGTGAGCCTTTCCTTCTGCAGGGGGTAGCAGGGCGGTGGGCCCAGGGCATGGCTACGTTTCTCTGGGGTGGAAGGGTCGGGCAGAAAGGATGGGCTGGGGGAGACAGATGGGAGAGAGCAGAAGGCAGCTGAGTTGTGCTGCTGCAAAGTCCGACGGCCGAGGCGGCAAAGAGGAGGGGAGAGAGGAGCTCTGAACCCATGTGGTGCATCATCCTGCCCAGGTCTGCCTCCAGAGCCGTCCTCTGTGGCCATGCCGCTTCCAGCTCCTGTCCAGGAGCTTCCTAATCCTGGGTGCTGCTCCGCAGTCCCAGGCACTACAGGATGGCCTGGGATGGCAGGCTGTAGGCTCTCCTAGCACTGGAGGTCCCTTGGTGGGTCCCAATGTGAGTGGTACAGGAGGGGTTCTGATTTTCTACTGGAGCTGAAGGCAGAGGAGAGTGTCCTGCACCCTTGCCATGGATGTCTCACAGCTTTTTGCTGCAGAGACCCCTTTGGGCTGGACCTAGCAGGCAGGCACCAGCTCATAGTCACTGGTCCAAGGTCCCAGCCTCACAGAGCCACACCACTGCCTCGTTCCACCCTGTTGTTCTCCAGCTTCTGGTGAGCCATCCCATGGTCTTCATTCGCTGCTGCCCACTGCTAAATAGTCTCGCTCGGAGTATTGCTGTGCCTTGCCTGGGGTGGCTGTGTTTTAGTGGAGCAGGGAGGCACTGCCTTTGTGCTCAGCCAGGGTCTTTATCCCTGGTGCCGGTCCTCAAACTCACTGCCGCGGCGACCCAGCGGGTTCTGGAGGGCAGCAGGGTGGGCTCACCACCGCCACAGTTTAGACCTCGTCCACCGCTGCGGTCTCTCAGCCAGGACACGGAGGTGTTTCCCAGGCCAAGGGAGGCCACCATTGTTGCAGGAGTCCCCTTAGAGCTTCCTCCCTGCCCTGCCCCCAGTGCTGGGACCTCGCGTGGCTCTCCTGCCCCGTCATCTGGATGCTCTTCACTCTTGAGTCCAAGTCCCAGCCCTGCTTCCCCCTGTCTGGTTTGGGGCACCTCAGTCCGTCCCAGCCGTGGCACCTTGACCTGCCCAGTCTCTGCCTTTTCTGCCTGGTCTCTGCCGTCATGTTCTCTGCGACCGAGTGAAGAGCTGGCCCTGTGCTTGTGATAGGGGAGAACAGGGGGACACCGGGTCTCATGCTTTTTCTTTTCTTCCCCCAAGGCCGATGCTGCAACCAGTTTCTTGAGAGCTGCAAGATCCGGGAATCTGGACAAAGCCTTGGATCACCTCAGGAATGGGGTAGATATTAACACCTGTAACCAGGTAGGTGAAACCCACAGGGCTTCTGGTACCATCTGGAGTTCATGTGAAATTGTGCCACGCGGTGGCTCCCCCAGGCCCAGTGATGGTCACTGCACCCCTTCCTTACGCTGCTCCCGTAGGATGGAGACACGGAGGTTCCCAAAGTTGCTCGCTTGCTTTGCTGTGCATAGCTGATTGGGAGCGCCTGCCCTCATCCCACAGTCCTACCTGCCATGGAGCAGGGTCTAAGTGGGCTGGTAATAAGTTGCCTGGCAGAGGAAGTTTAAAAACTTTGTGGCAGAGGCTGCCTGTCCTGACCCCACTCCCCTGCCGTGCCTGATGTGCCTGGCTCCTGGCGAAGCGTGGAGGGTGAGACAGAAGAGCCACTGCGTTATGTAGAGTGTGACTGCAGCTTTTATGTGTGGAGGTGATTTCCTGGGGATGATCTGCTCTGCAGAGGCATTGTGCAGCTTCCAGGCATGTATCTCCAGAGCTGTGGTGTGCCCAGCTGAGGGGTAGGTGCGCATCACCCTGGCAAAGCACTGCAGCCGTGACTGCCAGCGCAGTGGAGGGATCCTTGGGGTGCGGAGTCGAGAGTCCTGGCAGACCCCATCCTCCTCTCACCTTCACCACCTCCTGCCAGGCTCCAGGCATCCCACAGCCCCCTGTCCCTGCCTCTGCCAGGCAGCTGGCACAGGAGCTCCGAACCAGAATTGAGCTCAGGGGTGAGGCCACGCAGGGCAGGCTGCAGCGCGAGAGCGGTCCCTTGCTGGGAAGGCTTCCACAGCTGAGCTGGGTGGAAACGGGTCCTATGCTGGGGAGAAAAATGGGTCACCAGAAGGCAGATCTGGACCAGTTGTCTTTGGGGCAGGGAGGGCAGTAATAGCTATAAAGACCTGGGGAGCCTGGCAGTACTGGCTGGAGAATAGCAAAGGGCATTTACAGGTAAGCAGAGAGGGAGATCTGAGGCTCCTTTAGGGTGACAAGCAACTGGGACAGCTGGAAGGGGCTCAGCTGCTTATCAGAGGGCAGAGCAGGTAGCTGTGAAGAGTGTAGCATAGTGGCTGGGACGTTGCAGGAATCAATCTCGGGGATATTCCCCTTGCCTGCGATGCTCAGGCTTTCCGATTCCCAGAAGCTGCAGCTTAACACGAGCAGGGGACATTTGCAAAATGCCATCTTGGGGGCTTGGGAGGTGTTGGGTAGGTGGAGCCCCTCCTAGCACAGAGCAGAGACAGGTCTGCCCCAGGAAAGGAGAGCTGCAGGCACAGAGGAATTGTTTGCACATAATCAATGGAACATTTCATATCTGTGTAGCTGCCAAATGCAAATGGCTTAGCCTGAATTGGGGTAGGTGCTGTAGGGAGAGACTCAGGGGGCTTAGGCTGAGCAGGGGGGACAGAGAGGCTGCGCTGTCGGCTGCTTTCCAGAGCAGTAGTGATGCTGGGGAGGCTGACTCAGCAGGTAGCACGAATGTGTATTCACCTGCTTCAGTATCAAGTCCCCAAACCAAGCGTCATTCAGACCTACTGATTTGTGCGCTGCAGTGGCCAGTGCAGTTACTGCAGACATGTTCCCCCAGGAAATGTCACCGTCTCCTTTTCTTTTCTGACTGATGGAACCGTGCAGGGATGCTGGGCTTCTGCAGGCCCCTGGGGCACACTGCAGCTTGCGTTCCCCTCTCTGGGACACTAGATGAGGTTTGGGGAAAGCTCAGGAGATGCTTGTTTTGTTTATCACTGTTTTATCTGGATTATTAGTTCATAATCAGCATCTGGATACTCTCAAAGATTTCTATCCTAGGGCTGTGTGGGAACACATGGGATTTAGATCAGAGGGGTCTTGTAGGGAGAAAAGGTAGAAAATGTTCAGTTTCAGAGTCCTTTGAAGATGAGCTTTCCATGGGGTCCTGTTGGTGGGTTAGAGGCTCTGACCCCATAACCATTTTGGAGATGTACAGGGTTTGAAAAGAGGAGAGGCCATGTGACACAGTCTTAGCACTGGGCTGCAGGACTTGGCTTGCGCTCAGCACTGAGCAGATCGCGTGCTTGCACCTGGCAGGATATTCCAAGTCGCTGTGCTTAATTTCAGAATTTGGCCCAGTCAATAAACCCAACTGCTGCTCCCTTAGTCTTTCTTGGGGGAGTAGGAGCCCCTGTAATTGAGCCACAGCAGCGGGCCAGTTGCTGGAAGCAGTCACGCTGCTCCTGCTTCCAAATGGGTAGCTACAAATGAGCAGAGACTAATGGGTGTTTAATGCACCCACTGCTCCCTTCCAGACCTCTGGAAAAGCAAGTCACGAGGAGCAGGGAGGTCCTGCTGCTGAAGTCTGTGCCGCTCTCCCCTCCAGAAAGGGCTGGGGACGCTGCCACGTGTGGCACGTTCATGTATGCCCTGTGCGTGCAGAGGCTGGGGCAGAGCCTAGCAGGGAAAATCATCTTCCTTTGCCTGTTCACAAGTGGCTTGGAGAATTCCCTCCTGCCAGTTTCTGTGGGTGTCTGGAGGAGAGGGGCAAAAGTCGGTGGGGGCTGCGTTTGGCCACGCTGGCCCACGCCTTCTGAGATGGGAGACTGCACAAGTGGAGCGCACCATGGATGTTCCCTCATTGCCGATGAGAAGCCTAAAAGCAGAGGGAGGATTTCTACGTCTGCTGCTCCCGTACGGCTCTAGTGCAGAGGAATATGTGGTTCTGGAGAGGGCTCTGCAAAGAATTAAACAGGGACACCCAGCCACAAGCTAAAGACAATGGCTTTGAACTTCTTCCTCACCCAGAGAGACGGGTCGGTCACCAGCTGTCTCCACTGACCGGCTGCGAGTCCTGTTTCCGGACAGATTTCTGGTGCTGGTGAGGGGATTTAACACCTTGATGGGGAGGCACGTGGCTACAACAGTATGAGGCACTTCTTTGTGTGACGTCTTTGCACTGGTTCCTGCCATCTCCCTGAGGTTAGATGGCACTTTGGGGTTTCCTTCTGAGGAATATCAGACCTGTGGGAAAGGTCCAACCTCACATGTCCTGTATAGAATAAAGAGGGATGTATGTGGTCAGACCTATCCCACAGGCCCTGTATTCTTACTCAAGTGCAGAGACCTTGACATGCCATCTGATCGTCATCCCGCCGATCTCATCCCCTTCATTGCTGCCATCTGCATCCGTGTCTTCATCGTCCACCTCTCTCGTGTTTCGAATTCCTGCATGCTCCCACCTCATCCATGAGGAGCTGGAGGCCTGAGGATGAGTTCACCTTGCTGCCAGGACCCTCACCAGCAGGGAAGAGTGCTGTGCTAGCACACAGGTGCCAGGAGATAGTATTTTTTGGGGTGGACAGTCACAGTCCTGACAGCCAGTCCAGGGCAGGGTCCTGCTTTGGTACAGGCTAAGTGCAAATTCCCACCTCTTGTGTTTTCCTCTAGGGCTGGGTTTGTCGCATCGACAGCCAGCAACTAGGATTTCTGGGAAGCTTTTGCGGCACTTAGTGAGGGGAATACAGCACCTTTCAAATTAAGCACATCCTGTGGCGGTTTTGGGTCAGATGAGCTGTCAAGCCAAAGCAAATATGCAAAACAGCCTGTATTGTTCCTGGAGCAGAAATATCGATGGGCCGCTGGGAAACAATCTTCTGCAAACATTGCACTTATTGCTGTAAGGCCAGATGTCGTGGTTTAACCCCAGCCAGCAACTAAGCACCACGCAGCCGCTCACTCGCTTCCCCCCTACCCCATGGGATGGGGGAGAGGATTGGAAGGAAAAAGGTAAAACTCATGCGTTGAGATAAGAACAGTTCAATAGAACAGAAAGGAATAAAATAATAATGATAATAACAACAACAATAAAATCAAAATTCTACTAAAAGGATTGGAATATACAAAACAATTGATGCACAATGCTATTGCTCACCAGTCGCCAACCAATCACCAGTTAGTTCCCGAGCAGCGATCCTCCCAGGCCAGCTCCCCCCAGTTTATATACTGGGCGTGACATCACATGGTATGGAATACCCCTTTGGCCAGTTTGGTCCAGCTGTCCTGGCTGTGTCCCCTCCCAACTCCTTGTGCCCCTCCAGCCTTCTCGCTGGCTGGGTATCAGAAGCTGAAAAATCCTTGACTTCGTCTAAACACTGCTTAGCAACAACTGAAAACATCAGTGTGTTATTGACATTATTCTCATACTGAATCCATAACAATATACCAGCTACTAAAAAGAAAATTAACTCTGTCCCAGCCAAAACCAGGACACCAGAGAATAATAATCCCTCACAGGTTTTCAGCATTCAAAGGTTATTTATGAATCCCTTGCATAAAAGGGCTTATGTGCTGGGGAGAGCAACCAAGCATCTGCGGTCTTGCACTCCAGGCGTGTGTTGCCTGAGTGTAACCAAGAAAAAGCGTGTGTGTGTCCCCACATATCCAACTTGTGAGCTCGCGAAGGTAAGGGTGTCAGTGACCCTCCGTATGGGGTTGTGTACGTGTGTCTTAGTCAAAGAAGCTGGGCTTGACCCAGGCAATGAGCTCAGCATAGCCAAGCCTGGTTGGAGAGCGTTTCCTTTTGGTGGCTCTGTTCTGTGGCTGTTACAGCATTCCCACTTCATTTCCCTTGGAAGCAGGCTTTTTGTGCTTGAGGCTCTAGGGGACTTTGGAGTTGGTGCGCTGAGGAAGCCTGTGGATTTTTAGGTTTTTGCTCTTGGTGCTGTAATCGGAGTTAAGCAAAAGAATCTGTGGCTCTTTGACTACGATCCTGGATAGCCGGTGCTTTGAGGGAGAGGGGTTGGAAAACCTTTTTTCCAGTGTGGCAACACTCTTGAAGCTGTTCTAAGTTTAACTGGAGTGTTGAGGGCTGGAACTGGAGCCTCCCTGGGCATTTTCTGCTCTCCTACCTATATTCAGGTGGGGATGAAGCAATTCTGTGAAGTGACCTTCCAGTACTCTACAGAAGCCGAAACAGATGGTTGGGAGGTGGAGTACTTGGGCAGGACTGTGTGCTCCCGGGGAGCTGGTGTCTCTCTGCCATGTGACAGCTTTGCGTAGGGGGGAATAAACATAGTGCGTCCACCTGGGAGAAGTGAGGGACAAGGGAAGATTGCCTTATGGGGAAAAAGTGACATCTGAAATTGCCTGCAAGTATTTAGCCTCTTTGCCAGCAAATATCGCAGCCCTGTCGTTCACATCTGGGAAGTGGAAGAGGGTGTCAGAAATAACGGAGCAGAAGCCGCCTTAGCAGCCTCTAGGGTGCTGACTGGCCTGACACCTCCTTCTGACAGCCCAAGGTTGCTAAAAGGGCACTGGCCAGCCCTTTGCTCCTAGTGCTCAGGTTCCATGTGTAGAAAAAAGGCGAGGTAAACTGGGGCACATGCAGAGCTGTTCCTGAGAAGTCACTTCGGCTGTTTGGGAGCTTCCTGGAACTGGTAGAGCTTGGCAGTGGCACAGCCAACGCTTTCGCCACACCCTTTGCTGCAGCTGAACTCTGAGGGAGAAAAGCCAACCCTCTGCTGAGCATGGGCTGCAGGATGGGGCTGTTGGTAGGCAGTCTGCAAAGCCAGAAAGAAGCCAGCTGCTGGACTGGAAGCTCCTGAACCGTTGTGAATTAAATTTGGCTGCTGTTTGATAAAATCGTTGTCCCAGGAAGACCTTCTCGCTGCGCTTCTGTCTGTGTTAAAGTTTAAGGTTTGTATGTGCACTTACACAGCAGCTCTGGTGTATCCTCACTCTGGGCCATACCCAAAGCTCAGCTCAGTGCTTTAGGTTGGAAAAGCCTGACTTTGCAGGCAGCAAATCGCAGAGAGGGGCACCCCAAGGAAAGTCACCTGAGCAAAGGCAGGAGTTGACATCAGGGATGTGTCACGAGAAGGGAGGATTGAAACAGCGCCCATGGCACCGAACGCACACACGCTGCGCTGCGGTGCCACCCATCCATAGAAAATCGTCTGTGGGTGCTGCGTGTTTTGCTGATGGAGAAACCTCCAGCATTAGTCAGCAACTCAGCATTCAGCTGCGTGTAGTTGCCCTGGCACCGTGGAGGTAACCGCGGCTGTCGTGCTGGATGCCACTGCAGGGCTCGAGGGCAAGGCAACGGCTCCTGCTCCCACCAGCCTGGACCTTCTCCAGCACGGGCCAAGTGCACACAGTCGTGGCTGCAGAGGAGCTCAGAGTAGGGGGTTCCCCAGAGGCCCCCAGCCCCAGCAGGTGACTAATGCCCCTCTCCCACCTTTGCTCCCTCCAGAATGGGCTGAACGCCTTGCACCTGGCCTCCAAGGAGGGCCACGTGAAAATGGTGGTGGAGCTGCTGCACAAGGAGATCGTTTTGGAGACAACGACCAAGGTGAGGACAAGGGAGTCTGGTCACATTAGTCATGACTCGGCACCCTGCCATTGCTGCCAGACGCACCAGCAGTAGTTGAGCAGTGAATCATGCTGTTTGCTTTCAGTCCCTGGAAAGGCTGTGCTGGTGACAGTGCTGCTGGGCTGGGGCTTGGGGACCAGGCTCTGATTTCAGCACAGTCACAGTCATGCTGGGCACCTCCAGGAGGGTGGGACGTTCCTCTCCACCCATGCCTCTCTCCCGTGGGGGCCACGGGGGCCACCGTTGAGCTCAAGAGGGGAGTAAGAGAAGTCACAACACGTGCTAGTGCTGCCTTTACTCGCATCTCCTCCCAGCACTGGCTGCCAGCTCAGGTCAGCCCTCGCTGCCCCAGGGCAGCGCCTGCATGCTGCAACACCGCGATGGCCTTGGTACCGTCGTTGCAAGCCTGGAGAGCTCTGGCGCTCCGTAAATAATGTACCGTTCTCTCCTTGCATCACCATGGCGGGGTGTGGTTCTTGCTGGGTGACAAGCCAGAAAACGGCGCAAGCAAGCAGGGCTGACAAATGAGCAGCCTCCAGCACCATCTGAAGGGCTGTGAGAGCAGGAGGGAGCCTGGCTTGCCACCTCCCCAGTGCTCTGGCAGGGCTTGGGGCGCAGAGCGGAGTCTGGCGTTCTGCCACACCACCCAAAGGCACAAGTCGGAAGAGCCTGTGTCTGCATTTTCCAGCCCGCTCATCATCCTTTAGCTCTGCTGGGATGTCTTGGCTACCAGGGTGCACACTGCAGTTTTGCCTGAAGACTGCCAGCTCAGCTCCCCCGTCCTCCCCCCGCCTCATCTCTCGGTGCTGGTGATACACAGAGCCTGACAATGCATCCAGCTTTTGCTGCCAGTAACTTCATGGGAAAGATGAAATCACTGTCTTCCCTGGCCAGCAAACGTGAAGGGTAGCTGCCTGGTCTACAGCAGGGATGGGGCATGGAGCAAGGGCTGCACGGCCCCACAGGCTTCCCCTGGCCAGCTGCTGTGTTTGCATGTGTTAGCACATGTCAGGCCCATCTTTCCCCAGCATCCCGGGCTGCTCCAGCCCCTGAGTGCTGCCCTGTGGTGTCTTTCAGAAAGGAAACACAGCCCTGCACATTGCTGCCCTGGCTGGACAACAGGACGTGGTCCGGGAACTGGTGAACTACGGGGCCAACGTCAATGCGCAGTCACAGGTAGAGGGGTCTGGGCTGGGGTGGGAAAAGCACCCAGTATGCATGATGGTGGTGTCCTCGTGGCGGGAACTGTGCCCAGTACGGGCACTTCAGCAGCCCTTTATAGTTTCTCTCTAGTCCTGTTCAGGGCTAAGGACTGCTCTGCCAGAAAGAAGACGAGTGTGCGAGTGGTGGGGAGGGAGTCTTGAGGGATATGGGGAGACCAGCATGATCTCTTTGCTGAGGGAGTCCATGGCAGCACGCACAAACACGTCAAACTCATCCTGGGAGGACTCAAGGCCAATGCTTCCCTGGCACAGCCATGAGGTCTCCAGCAACCCTTGCAGCTCTGCACACTGTGCTTCCTTCGTTCTCTCGTTCTTGGGCCTGGTGGGGCTGCAAGCTCTTCAGCTTTTGCCTGATGGGAGAAAAACATCCCTGAAGCAAGGGAGAGTAGTGGTAGTGAGTGGAAGGCAGTGTCTCCTGGGTTGACTGTTGTGAGGCATCCCCTGGTTCTTTCTGGATGTGGGGAGCCTTGGGCTCCAGCTCCCTATGATTGCCTCACCATTGCCAGTTTTTTCCTTCTTCCCACCCACACCATGTATGCTTTTGCCCCAGTTCAATGAGCTGGGGGTGTGGGTGTTGATGAGGTGTAGGTCTGCAAGGAGCTTGAGCAAGAGTTGTGTTGATGCGCATGGCCCTGTGTTTGCAGAAAGGCTTCACACCCCTCTACATGGCAGCACAGGAAAACCACCTGGAAGTTGTCAAGTTCTTGCTGGAAAATGGAGCCAACCAGAATGTAGCCACAGAGGTGAGATCCTTGAGGAGCCCCGCTTGTTGGGGCTGCTGTTGGATGTGCCAGGCGCTGCCACGGCTCCTCGGTTCTCCCCCTCTCACCTACCTCTCCTTGGCAGGACGGCTTCACTCCACTAGCTGTGGCTCTGCAGCAAGGGCACGAGAACGTGGTTGCTCACCTTATCAACTATGGGACAAAGGGTAAGGTCCGCCTGCCCGCCCTGCACATTGCAGCCCGCAACGATGACACTCGCACAGCTGCTGTGCTGCTGCAGAATGACCCCAATGCTGACGTCCTCTCCAAGGTGTGTGGCTTTCCCATCCTGCCTCTGGGAGCTTTCCCACATCCCCAGGGAGAACAGCAGCTTGGTATGCTGTATTTATCCATCCTTTCAGCAGGGAGCATGTGTCTGGCTGGGCTGATCCCTCCTTCTTTCCCCTAGACTGGATTTACCCCCTTGCACATTGCAGCCCACTACGAGAATCTCAGTGTGGCCCAATTACTGCTGAACCGTGGAGCCAGTGTCAACTTCACACCCCAGGTGAGTGCAAAGTGGGAAGACTGCTGGGACTGGGACTGCTCCAGCACCAGAGGAGGATGCTGTGCCTCCTTTCCATGTAGGTGCAGCCACAGCTGCCAGGGTACACTGGTGAGGTGGGACCACGCAGAAGGTAGCACACTGGTGCATGTCTGGGGAGTTGCCATTAATAATCAGCGTGGGCCTTTTCTACTGTGTCTCCCCTCTGTCGGATGCAGCCATGCATCCCTGGAAGCTCTTGGGACCTTCTGTCCAGGCTGCGGGAAAGCTGGTGCTCTCGCTGCAAGGCAGAGCTTATAGCCCCTGCAGTTGATGTGCCTCTTCCAGTCCCATGGGTGCAGTCAAATCCATGAGCCGGCGCTTTCCTGCAAGATCTGCGTAGCTTCTGCCCACAGCCCTTTAGCTGCAGGTGGGAGCAGATGCTCTCCCTCTCTCCCAGCCCTGTGAAACAAGCCGTTCCCCTGCGCTGTCCGTGGGCAGGGATTTAGCTCTCCCCTGTCCTTCGTTTGCCCCATGCCTCCTTGCAGCCCCACGGGGGAAAAAGAAGGGGTTGCTCCCTCTAACAGACTGCCGTTCCTTCTGTCAGAATGGGATCACTCCCCTGCACATAGCCTCCCGCCGGGGCAACATCATCATGGTACGGCTGCTGCTGGACCGTGGGGCCCAGATAGAGACAAGGACCAAGGTGAGCCCACTTCTGAATCACCAGCAAGTACACAGGCCATCTCCCTCCCCAAGCTCCTTGCATCCAGGGAGCACTGCCATGCTGCGCTGCCCAGTGCGCACCCTGTGAACGTCTTGCTGGTTGTGTGAGGGAAGGTCTCTGGTGCGCTAAGGGGGTGGACCAGGTTTTTTGCGGGTGCATGTAGAGGTGAGAGGAGGCTGCATGGCTACAGTGGGTGTGCCCTGGAGGCTGAGGGCAGGCTCGGTTTTGCCTTATTTTGCAAACAAGTCCAAAGTCCCTGTTACCCTCCTGCCCTTCCTTGCCCATGCTGAGCCCTTGAACCCTTCTGTCTCCCCAGGATGAGCTGACCCCTCTCCACTGTGCAGCTCGCAATGGACATGTGCGAATCGCAGAGATCCTGCTGGACCATGGGGCTCCCATTCAAGCCAAAACCAAGGTACTCACGGGATTCTGTGGGGTTGTGCTTGGTGTCAGGTCCCAGGGCAGCACAAAGTGGGGTAACAAGCTGTGCACTGTTGCTGGATGCCACCCGTGGCTGGGCTGGGACTGAGTTTTGGCCTGCCAAGGGATGAGGAGCTTTCTGACCTCCTCCTTGGCCCTTGCTTCAGCCCTTTGCCCTTTGCCTGAGGGCTTCAAAGGGACCAGCCCTGAGAAGGGGATGCCCTGGGGACAGCCTGCCCCATGGCAGCAGCTCTTCAGGCCCTGCCCTCTGCTCAGCATTGCTCCCCCGTAAGTCTCGGTGAAAGATTTCGGGGCTCCTTTCTGGTAGCACCCTGGGGAACATGCCATCTCTTCTGCCCCGGAGCTGTGGCTGGGGGAGCGAGGCAGGGGCTGGGTGGGATGCCTGGTCCCCCCTCCCAGCCCAGCCCTGAGACCTCGCTCCGCGGTCGCAGAACGGCTTGTCGCCGATCCACATGGCAGCGCAGGGCGACCACCTGGATTGCGTGCGCCTGCTCCTGCAGTACAGCGCCGAGATTGACGACATCACCCTGGACCACCTAACGCCGCTGCACGTGGCCGCCCACTGTGGGCACCACCGGGTGGCCAAGCTGCTGGTGGAGAAGGGGGCCAAGCCCAACTCCCGAGCCCTGGTGAGTGAGGAGGGGGCAGGCAGGGCTGGGGCAGGGGAGAGGGAGAGCCTTCTTGCAAACGGCCGTCCATCTGTCCATCTGCAGAACGGCTTCACACCCCTCCATATCGCCTGCAAGAAGAACCACATCCGGGTGATGGAGCTGCTGCTGAAGACGGGTGCCTCCATCGATGCCGTCACAGAGGTAGGTGGGCTGCAGCCCAGCCCCAGCTCTCCTCCTGGTGCCCGTGCAGAGCAGGCAGCGCTGCAGGGGACGATGGTCCTGTTGCCTCTGCTGGTCCCCAGGCACTTTCTTCGTCATGGCTTAGAGCTCTTTGCAGCTCCGTTGAGCCTGGCAGCGTCTCCCCGCAGCCCGCTCCCTACGGGGCAGGGGGGCTGCAGGGGAGGTGGTAGCTCTCCGTCTTCCCCTCAGCTCAGCTGCCAGGCTGCTGGGGCCGGGCTGTGGACCCAAAGTTTGCCTCTGTGCTGGAGCGTGCCCCAGGGAGGGGGACGAGGGGGGCAAGGAAGAGATGTTGGCAAGGTTCTCAGCACCCATCTTGGCTCCTGGCCCCTTTCTCTCTGCAGTCTGGCCTGACTCCCCTGCATGTGGCCGCCTTCATGGGGCACCTGCCCATCGTCAAGACCCTGCTGCAGCGTGGAGCCTCTCCGAATGTGTCCAACGTGGTGAGTCCCACCCTGGCTGGGGCTGTGGGAGCTCAGCATGGTGGGGTCCAGCAGGAGGTGGGGGTTCCCCGAGTCCTGCTTGCTCTCCTCTCCTGAGCAAGCCCTGGTGTCCCCCGCTTTGTGCTGGCAGGAGGAACCGGTAGGGGCCCAAAAAGGTTGTGGGCACTGCTCTCCTGTGCTCAGACCAGAGGAATGACTGCGGGAAGGCATATCCTCTCCTGTGGCCTCACCGCTTTATCCTGTCCTTGGTGCAGAAAGTGGAGACCCCCCTACACATGGCAGCCAGAGCTGGGCACACGGATGTGGCAAAGTACCTGCTGCAGAACAAAGCCAAAGCCAACGCCAAGGCCAAGGTAGGTACAGAGAACCTGTCTGATAGTCCAGCTCTGGGAACAGCCGGTGCTGGTTTCTTCACTCTCGCCTGCCCAGAGCTCGACCCACCAGGGGCTGCGCAACAGCAGGACCAGGACCCCTTCGGCAAGGCAAGCAAGGGTCTGGTCCGAATCTGCCAAAACAGCTTGTCTGCCTCCCTCGCAGGATGACCAGACTCCTCTGCACTGCGCCGCACGCATCGGCCACACCGGCATGGTCAAACTCCTGCTGGAGAACAACGCCAACCCCAACCTGGCCACGACAGCGGGGCACACGCCCCTGCACATCACTGCCAGAGAGGGGCACGTGGACACGGCCCTGGCCCTGCTGGAGAAAGGGGCCTCGCAGACCTGCATGACCAAGGTAGGCTGCTGTGGCCACCGCCGCCAAAGGAGTGACCCAGCTGGGCCAAAGGCTGGGCAGGCTGGTGGCACAGTGTCCCTGTTATGGGAGGGACAGCCTCCTCCTGTGGCACAGCACGTGCCAGTGCTCTCCTCCTCATCCCTGTGCACCCTGTGATGGGCTGCCTTTCTCCTCAGAAAGGATTTACCCCTCTCCACGTTGCAGCCAAGTACGGGAAGGTGGACGTGGCGGAGCTGCTGCTGGCACGTGACGCTCACCCCAATGCAGCAGGGAAGGTGGGTGCTGCTCCTGTGGCAGCGGGAGGAGTGGTGTGGTACGGGGAGAGGCTCCGTCTCACCTGTCTGTGCCCTCTCCCCCTCCCCAGAATGGCCTGACCCCGCTGCATGTGGCTGTGCACCACAACAACCTGGAGATCGTCAAGCTGCTGCTTCCTAAGGGGAGCTCCCCGCACAGCTCAGCCTGGGTAAGGTTGGACTGGGTGTCCCTGGGGATGTGGGGATGTGTCCGTGTGCCCAGCGCCCGTCAGCCTGGGGCCGGCATTGCCCCTCAACCCTGATACTGGGACCAGTCACCACCAGCCACTCTCCACACCTGCTGCTCACGCCTGTCCCTCGCACCAGTCCGTGGGGCAGGCAGGGGTGCCGGGCGGTCGTCCTGTTCCTACAGACAGGCTGTGCCAGGGACAGTCCCTGCTGGCAGCGTTGTGGCTGTTGCTTGGGGACGTGTTTCCATGGCAAGCCCCGTGGAGCAGTGCTGCAGTCTAGCAGTTTGGGAAACCACACATGAATATTTGCGTGCAGCTATGAAGGAGTGAGTCAGAAAACCCACGAGCTCGTGAGACTCACCCCACTCTGCCTGACCACGGGGAACATCTCCCCAAAGAGCAGACCAGCAGCCTCGGTTTCCGCATCATTTGCAGAAGCTGGATCCTCAGAACAGACAAGTGGCCACCGGTGCCCAGCCGTGCCCATCTGGCATTCCCCTCTCCCCCTGCACAGGCTGCCGGCAGTCTTGCTGGGCGGGCAGCGGCAGCGGCCGGTACCGGTGCCAATCCCCCGTCGGTCTGCGTCACTTGACAGCCTGCACGTCACCCCAAGCAGAGGGTGTCTGCCAGCTGCTTTGCTCCTGCAGCGCGGCGGCGAAGGCAGTGCTCAAGGCCCTGCCGTCTCTGCCTGAATACTAATCCTGCATATTGTGAGTTTTGCTCCACACCTCAGGCAGACACATCCTAGAAGGTGTCTGCCTGCCCTGGCCTCTCACAGCTCCCGGTGGCTGAATACTGCTGTAAAAATTCATGTGTGGGGAAACTCCAGGACAGGCGATACCAGTCAAACCTGAAGCAGGTGGTCTTTGAAACCCCTGTGCTGACTTGGCTGGAAGAGCAGGATTTGGCCTCAGCGTCAGGGCTAGTTGCTGTCAGGGAGATGGTTTGGGTGTGAGCGTGCATCCCTGAGTTCTGGAGGCGACTAGGAAGGGCAGGCCTGGCCTGGAGAGGCAAGGTGGCACCTTCTGTCCCTGCTGGTCTGCTTGGCAGGGGCTGAGCACTGCAATGAGCCTCTCTGTCTCTCTCTGCAGAATGGGTACACCCCCCTGCACATTGCTGCCAAGCAGAACCAGATGGAGGTGGCCAGCAGCTTGCTGCAGTACGGGGCTTCTGCAAACGCGGAGTCTGTGCAGGGAGTCACCCCCCTCCACCTGGCTTCCCAGGAGGGGCATGCGGACATGGTGGCACTGCTTTTCTCCAAACAAGCCAACGGTGACCTAGGAAACAAGGTAAGTTGTCCCGGCACATCCCGCCAGGCTGGAGGCGAACACCCCCGCAGGGAGTAGCAGACAGGGTGGTAGTCCAGGCTCCGGTGCCTCCCTGCATTCAGGCAACAGCACAGTGTCGGTCAATTTGCCAGGTTGGAGACCTGTCTTAGAGTCTCTGCTGGTATTGCTGCAGTGATGGCATCGCCACTGTGCTGAGACCTCCCTTGTTTGCAGAGTGGCCTGACTCCTCTCCATCTTGTGGCCCAAGAGGGGCATGTGCTGGTCGCTGATGTTCTGGTGAAACACAGAGTCACGGTGGATGCAACGACCAGGGTAAAGTAGTGCATTGGCCATGGCTGTGGTGAAAAACATGTGGGAAAACTACCTCTAGGCCTGCTCCAGGAGCATTGCTTTTCTTTTTCTTTGTGCAAGAGTCTCCCCTCTTGTCTTACCTTCTTGTCTGTGTCTTGGGGACTCTTCGTCCTCTTCCCCTCGCTCCCTGGAGAGATGATTCTTGCCTGTTCGCACAGCTGACCCCTGTACCTTTGGGCACAACGTGGTGTGGTCTGCAGTGTGCCCTCTGCCCTGGTCCTGGACTCTCAGACAGCACCCGCACGTGTGCCCCATTCTTCATCCATGGGGCTTGCCCCATGGGATGAGCATGCACAAGCCACAAGGGTAGGAAACACCACGGAGGGCACTCTGAGACCTGATCTCATCTTTCAGATGGGCTATACCCCGCTGCATGTGGCCAGCCACTATGGGAACATCAAGCTGGTGAAGTTTTTGCTGCAGCACCAGGCTGATGTCAACGCCAAGACTAAGGTACAGAAAAGTCCTGTGCTCCAAGGACCCTTCTGCCCTGGGCAACAGTATGCGGGTTGATGGAGAAGGCTTAGCCTCCCTTCCTGCTTCCACTGCTCCCCCCTGCGTTGCTCCAAGCCCTCCTGTCTCCATGGCTGGAAGCTGCTGTAGACTAGCTACAGCCCTGGGCAAGAGCTGGGTTCTGCAGAGCCCTTTGCTTACCTCGGAAAGGAGAGAGTCGCCCTCGCGCTCCAGGCATGAAGCCCAGCGTGAGGTGCAGGGGCATTTCTGGGGCAGCAGATTCCCAGAACTGATGGCAGCACCCTCTGTCCTCCTCTGCAGCTGGGCTACACCCCTCTGCACCAAGCGGCGCAGCAGGGCCACACGGACGTTGTGACACTGCTGCTGAAGCACGGTGCCTCTCCCAACGAGATCAGCACAGTGAGTATGGCGCTGACCCGCACCTCCTCACCCCATGGAAAGCTCGGGCGCCTGCCCGGGCTTCCCTGTGGCTGTCACTGACCCCCAGTCCTTCCTCCTTGCACAGAACGGCACCACTCCCCTGGCAATCGCAAAGCGGCTCGGCTACATTTCCGTCACAGACGTGCTCAAGATCGTCACAGAGGAAACGGACATCCCGGTGAGCCCCTGGGGACTGGGACCAGCACCCTGTGGAGGAGGGCTGGGGCTGGGAGCAGCCACGCAAAGGTCTGCTGAGCTGGGTGGCTAGCCCGGGTGTGGGGAGGGGGCCGCAGGTAGCCACCCAGCAAGGGCTGGCCTCTGCTGACTCCGCTCTACTCCCGCAGTCAGTCAGTGACAAGCACCGCATGAGCTTCCCGGAGACCGTAGACGAGATTCTGGACGTGTCAGAGGATGAAGGTGAGGGGCCAGAGCTAGGTCGCTCCATCCCAGATATGTGGCTGGCGGCAGCCCTGGGGATGGGCACTGGTGTTCCTGCTGGCCAGGGTGGGGGAGCTGTGTGGCCCCACAGTGGTCTTGCAGAGAGGATGAGGGGAGCCCACCAGACTCCTGGGGTGGCACCTCCTGGCTCGGGTGCTTCCCTGCGCTATGCAGGAGGGATATGCCTGGACCACTCCACGGTCCCACGCCCCAGGGAGAGTGTACAGAGAGCCCTTGGGCATGCAGAGCCCCCCACCGTGCCCTGCTCCGCGGGGTAGTACCAGCTCCCAGCCTGGCTGCAGATGGTCTGCTCCTCCTCCCTCCCACTGAGACCTCACCTTTGCCTCTTCTTACTTTGCAGGCACTGCTCATGTCACAGTAATGGGTATGAAATGTGTCCCCCTGCCCCCAGCTCAACGGCCCATTTCACCCCATGGCCACTAACCATCCGCACGCCACATCCATCTGCTGAGCCTTGCTGCTGGGCTGGTGCTATCCAGCATTGGCCCTGCCATCCCGCCCTGCCCATCTGTGTCCGTGCTGCTTGCTGTGGTGTGACTGCATGAATGGGGCTGTCCCCCCGCTGTGGGGGATCCTTAGCTCCCTGTCGGCCCCAGGTCCTGTCCCCTGTAGGCAGAAGAGCCCGGTTCTGAGACAAACTCCGATGTCCCACCACAACCACCCCATGCCATCCTGGCCAGGGCAGGGATGAACTTGAGTGCTCGAGGGTCTCTGTGGGGCTGCGGTCCCCTCCCCATCACTAGGGCTCCGTCCCTGCATTGGGAGGTGCTGGACTCGCTCCCATAGGGCACTGGCAAGAGCTGAACCCCAGAGAACTCCTTAGCAGGAATTAATCAGGCCAGCAGGCAACGCTGGCTGGGCTTGCGCCTCCAAGGAGGGGTGCGCGGATGCACTCGGCAGCGTTAGGGCATCCTTCCCACGTCCCCAGCCCTGCCTACACTCCTGTCCCCAGCATCCGACGGCAGGGTGTCCCTGGCAGGCTCTGCTCTGTGCTTGGTGCTGGAGGAAAGGGGTCAGCTAGCAGCCGAGGCTCCTGACAGCTACCACAGCTCCTGTCCCACCCACCCGCGGCACATGGGGCTTGCCCCTGCCAGCGGACCCCATCTGGCAGAGGGCAAAGCTGCCCCGTGGCTGGCTGAGACCCCAGGGGATGAGTGTGTGTGTCCAGCAGTGGGAGCAGAGATGGGCCCTGGCTCCAGCCCTGAGGAGGGATGAGGGCAAGGGCTGGATGTCTGTGCTCCCTTGTCCCTCTGCCTCTGCATGCTGAGCCAGCTCTCGGTTTCAGAGGAGGAGCTGATCGCACCAACGCCCAGGACACCCGATCCCAGGGACCAGGACGGCAAGAGGGAGACGCTGGACTTTATGACCACGACGACACTGGACCAAACGTAAGAGGCACTGGATGGTGGGGAGGGAGTGGGTACGGGGCACGGGGCCAGCCCGGTGCTGGGCTGGGATGCCAGTGGGGCAGGGACAGCTCTGGGCAAGGAGTGGATCACTGGGCCCCCACCAGCTAGCATAGCAGGCAAAGCTCGTTGGTGTTGTTCCTGCACCAAGACATGAGTCTGCTGCTGAGTTTGCCTTCATCCAGCGGCCCCGGGACTCCCTGGGGACGGCCAGGGGCTGAGGGGCCCAGGCTTGCCACTGCAGTGGCTGTCACTGCCCTCTCCTACCAGGGTGGAGTCTCCAGCTGTCCTGCAGGTCCCCTGCGTCCCACCTGAGACTGTGGTGACCAGAGCGGAGGAGACTGAGCAGGTAGGACCTGTGGAGACAGAATCTGAGCAAGTCAGCCTGCTGCATGCACCCTCAGTGTCCCCACAGGAGGTGAGCATGAGACACAGCCTGCCACGGCCCCCCCAGGCACTCCCTACCAGGGGGAGTCCCCCCATCACCACAGAGCCGAAACATGGGATGGGTGGTAGGGATGGACCTGGCGGTACGGGACTGCCCAGGGAGGGTTGTGAGACTGCGGACGAGTGGGCAGGCTCAGCACCCCCAGATAGGATCCTGTGCCCATGGGGGCTCTTCCCTGCCTTACACAGCCCTCCAAGGAGTTCGATGAGGACTCCCTGATCCCCAGCAGCCCCGCCACCGAGACCTCGGATAACATCAGCCCAGTGGCCAGCCCCGTGCACACAGGGTGAGTGCCCAGCCCACGCGGCACATGCATGCTCTGCGCATGAGCCGGCTGCAAGATGCCCACATGCCCGTGCCTCTGCCCGCTCCAGGTTCCTGGTGAGCTTCATGGTGGATGCCCGCGGCGGCTCCATGCGGGGCAGCCGGCACCACGGACTGCGTGTGGTCATCCCGCCCCGCGCCTGCGCCGCGCCGACCCGCATCACCTGCCGCCTGGTGAAGCCCCAAAAGCTGCCTGCACCCCCGACGCTGGCTGAGGAGGAGGGTCTGGCCAGCCGGATCATCGCCCTGGGGCCCGCTGGCGCCCAGTTCCTCAGGTGAGCACAGCTGGGAACAGAGCGGATGGGGCTACCCACACCGGGGCCATCCCTCAGGACTGGGGATGGATCCAGGCTCCTCTGGAGTCTCTGCCAGCTGGGGCAAGACCTCTGCCCCTCTCTGCTTCTGGGGGTCTGGTGCAGAAAAGATCCCACTTCCAGCCAGGCGCAGCATGTTTCTGGGGTGGGTCATTCCAGCATAACGGAGCAGTGGCTACGCTGTGGTAGAAAAAGACCTGACCGGCACGGTCCCGCTGGGTGCAGAGCCCCGTTTCCCAGACAGCAGGGTGGGAGCAGTCCTGCCTTCCTCCTCCGGTGGCTGTACAGCGTAGGGCAGGTGCTCTGCCCAGGGCCACCTTGTCACCTGCGTGTCCCAGCGGCAGCACATGGGTGCAAGCGCCCTTCCTCTGCTTGTCTGCAGCCCCGTCATTGTGGAGATCCCACACTTTGCCTCGTGCGGGCGCGGAGACCGCGAGCTGGTGGTGTTGCGCAACGAGAACGGCTCCGTCTGGAAGGAGCACCGCAACCGCTATGAGGACAGCTACATGGACCAGCTGCTCAACGGCATGGATGAGGGTGAGCGTGCCAGGCAGGCGAGGGTTCGGCACCGTGCGGGTCCCCGCAGGCAGGGCTGCAGCTGGCCCGGGTGGTGGGATGGGGCTGAGCCTGGCATGGTTGGTGCAGCTCACAGGGGGTGGTGGGTGACAGCCGCAGGCTTGGTGGGTGAGTGTTGATGGCTGCGCTGCCCTTGCAGAGCTGGAGAGCCTGGAGGAGCTGGAGAAGAAGAGGGTCTGCCGCATCATCACCACCGACTTCCCTCTCTACTTCGTGGTCATGTCCCGGATTTGCCAGGACTGCGATCTGATCGGCCCTGAGGGAGGGTGTTTGAAAAGCACACTGGTGCCCATGGTACAGGCCACCTTCCCAGACACGGCTGTCACCAAGAAAGTGAGGCTGGCCCTTCAGGTGAGCACCAGAGAGCTTGGCAGCAGGCTCAGGCTGCGCCCCAATCCGAGGGAAACTGGCCCTGATGCCGGTGCTCATGCTGCCCGCAGGCACAGCCCGTGCCCGATGAGCTGGTGACTAAGCTGCTGGGGAACCAGGCAACCTTCAGCCCCATCGTCACAGTGGAACCGCGCCGGAGGAAGTTCCACCGTCCCATCGGCCTCCGCATCCCGCTGCCGCCGTCCTGGAAGGACAATCCCCGTGACAGTGGCGAGGGTGACACCACCAGCCTGCGCCTGCTCTGCAGCGTGATCGGTGAGGCTACCAACCCCTGCCGCGCAGGCGAGCGTGCTCTCCGGTTGGGATGGGCTGGGCCACCTCGGTGGGATGCAGGTCCTGGGAGCGAAGGACAGGTCACCGCGGTGGAAAGAGCAATTGCCTGGGGGATGCAGACCCCAGGCTTGTGGAAAAGCAGCGTGCTCACCCTTGTTTTCTGCTGCAGGAGGGACAGCCCAAGCCCAGTGGGAAGACATAACAGGCACCACGAAGCTGGTCTATGAGAATGAGTGTGCTAACTTTACCACCAATGTGTCTGCCAGGTGAGTCATGGGCAAGCACGTGCTCACCTGGGGACATCCGCTGTTCCTCAGGCCCTCTTGGGGTGCAGCCTGTGCCAGGAGGAGCCTCCCACCCCTGTGCTCCTTGGGGTGCTGCCCCATTCCCACGTGCAAGGCAGTTGCCTCCAGCCTTGAGACCCCCCACGCCGCCTCGGCGTGTGTCAGGAAACATTCACAACCGGGTGCACAGAGGGAAGGGACCGTTCTTTGTGCTTGGATGGGTCCCCTTCATGGATGGGGCTGCTCCTCTACCGGGAGCTCTTGGGGCACCCTCTGCCATGCACTTTGCTGTTGGGCGGGGGGGGGGCAGCTGTCCCGGTGCCGCTGGGCAACTTGCCCGGCAGCGCCCCGACCCAGCCCTCCCACAGGTTCTGGCTGGCCGACTGCCCGCGCACAGCTGAGGCCGTGCACTTTGCCACAATGCTGTACAAGGAGCTGACGGCCGTGCCCTACATGGCCAAATTCGTGGTGTTTGCCAAGATGAATGATGCACGGGAAGGCCGGCTGCGCTGCTACTGCATGACTGACGACAAGGTTGACAAGACTTTAGAGCAGCACGAAAACTTCACTGAGGTGGCCCGCAGCAGGGACATTGAGGTTTGTCCCCAGCGACGTGCGTGGGGGGCAGCAGGGAGAGGGCTGCCCGAGCGAGGGGAGACTGATGCTGGTGGAGGGGCCTGGCTCTGGCCCGCGGAGGAGAGCTGGGGTTACCTGCCATGTCCACGGGCAGGAGAAACATTTCTGCACAGGGTCTGAGCCCGTTTCCTGCTCCCTGCCAGGTGGTAGAGGGGATGCCTTTGCACGTCGAGCTCTCAGGGAACCTGGTGCCTGTCAAGAAGGCCACTCAGCCCCGCACCTTCCTCTTCCAGTCCTTCCGGGAGAATCGTCTCGCCATCCCCATCAAGGTAATGGCAGGGGGCAGGGCTGGGCTGCAGCTGGGACCCCCGCGCCTGCCCTGTGCCAGACCACCTAACCAGGCTCTCGGTGCTCAGGTTCGGGACAGCAGCCGGGAAGCCAGCGGCTCCCTGTCTTTCTTGCGCAAGGCCATGAAATATGAGGACCTCCAGCATGTGCTCTGCCACCTGAACATCAGCATACCGCCCTGCACCAAGGTCAGTGCTGGGTCTCTGGCACCTCTGGAAGGGGGCAGCGGGGGCCCATCCCTCCCCCAGTTGCAGGAGACAGCCCTCGCTGTCAGCTTTTCTTCCTCAGCTGCTCATTGTGGCCATGCCGTGCTGCTCTGAGGCTGCAGGAGAAGCAGCGGTGCCAGGGCAGAGCTGCTGCCCTCTTTTCAAGCTGGTGACCCCTCGGTTTTTCCCCACTCTCACAGGGAAGCGGCAGCGAGGAGCGGAGGAGGACACTGACGCCGTTGTCTCTGCGGGAGCGATACAGCATCCTAAGCGAGACCAGTTTTGGTATGCAGCCCGCTGGGACTGTCCGAGCCCGATTACCGCCTGCGCTTGGAGTGCCCAAGCCCGGTGGAAAGGCTGGGCTGACCCTGTCGTACTCAGGCTCGTGGCAGCTTCCCCTTCCCTGAGGGTTTCCTTGGTCCTGCCTGCAGGGCAGTGCTGTGCCTACGGGGCTGCAAGACCCCCAGAGCCAGCACCCCTTCCCCATCCCCACCGCAGCGCAGGGCCCTGCACAGCTGAAACTGTGGCTCCCTCTTCTCCTCCAGGCTCTCTGAGCAGCACGGACAAGGCAGACCAGAAGATGGTTGACATAGCAGAACAGCTGGGCCTCAGCTGGGCTGGTGAGTCCATACCTGATGGCTCTGAGGATGCACAACACTCCTCGGAAAGCTGACACTTAGGAAGGCTGGAAACATGTTGCAGGATGGAGTGAATGCATGCATTCACATGCACAGATACCAGGCTAGGGTTTTTGTTCTGAACCTTCTTGCGGCCATGCATGCATTCACATGCACGTGCACAGATACCAGGCTAGGGTTTTTGTTCTGAGCCACACATATTGCTGCTGTTCGTGGAAGCCCATCACCGTTGTCGCAGCCGCGCACCCAACGGCAGTATCCGCGCTTCTCCTTAGCATGAGATGCTGCTACGCTGGTCACAGCCAGCCTGGGCAGAGGGGCTTCAACCTCTGCCCCCTCCCATGCTCCTGCATGTTCTGCTGTGCTCAGCTGTATGTGACAAGGGGGACTCTGTGCTGGGTCTGGCCGAGCCCTTCACAATGTCCCCAGCCTTTTTTGGTTTGGGAGCTGGTGGTGGGCACCGGAGGGTGTGATGCTGAGATGTTGTGTCTCCCCCAGAGCTGGCCCGTGAGCTGCAGTTTGGGGTCGATGACATCAACAGGATACGTGTGGAGAACCCCAACTCCCTGCTGGAGCAGAGCATAGCCTTGCTCAACCTCTGGGTCAGCCGCGAGGGCAAGAGTGTCAAAAGTGAGTATCTGCAGAGCCCCGTTACGGGTGCGGAGGCGGTGGGGCTGGCTGCACAGAGCAGCCTGAGCGTGTTCAGGGGTCACCGGCTCGCTTTACGCTCCTGGTTCATGTACACCTGCCCGCCTGAGGGTGTCTGGGCCATGGCTGTGATCCCAGCGACCAGTTTGCTGACAGCAGCTTCCCCCCGCAGTGGAGAATCTGTACACGGCACTGAGGAACATTGACCGCAGCGAGATTGTCAACACACTGGAGGGCTCTGGCCGGCAGAGCCGTAGCCTGAAGGGCAGCTGGCGCTACACGGACAGAGACTATTCCCTCTCGCCGTCCCAGATGAATGGTGAGTCTCGGCTTCTGGCAGGGACCGCAGGAGGGCCCCGGGGGCAGAGCCTGGGCAGACAGATCGGGGCTGATACCTTGCCTGCCGTACCGCTGTTTTCAAAGCTCTCCAGGTAGGGTGGACAGACATTCCTTATCCTGACACGCCAGCAAGAGGTGCCCCTGGCTGTGCGAGCTGAACGGTGGCCAGGGAGCTCCCGCAGCCCTGGCTGTCCGGTCCCAGGCAGAGGGTGCCCGGGTGCTGGGACAACACCGGGGTCAGCGGCAGCGGGGACCGGGCTGCATGCGGCGGCTGCAGACCTGCGCTGCGGAGCTCTCGGTGCAGCGCTGGCTCGTCGCTCTCTCCCTCTCTGTGTCCCCTTGGTCCGCTCTCTCAAACGTGCCACCTAGCGCTGTCGGGTGCGGGTCACTTCTTGTCACCTCTCTCCTCTGAGCTCATCCTGGCCTTTCCTTCTCTCATCTTCCTCTGCTGCCTGGCTCCACTGTCTCCACCTCAGCTGAGCCCTCCGGGAGCCGCATCCTGCTCCAGCGACTGCATGTCACCAGGGACTGCCCCTCTCGTGGCTGTCGTGCTTGCAGGCGGCCAGCCCAGACCTTCTCCTCCTGCACTGCCCTGCGCTCCTTCCCTCGCTGGCCCTGCACTGCTTGCCCCCCGGCCAGGCACTCGCACAGGGGAGAGGTGTTCCTTCTGTGCTGGGGGTCCCAGCTGTCCCCCGAGCCTCGGCTGTGGCTAGGAACCCGTGGCTGCCTGGAGAGCAGAACAGGTTCTCTGCTGATCTCCAAGGATGGAAAAGGGGCTAGTGGAGGCTGGAAAAGGCTCAGGCTGGAAAAGGCTGAGCAAAGCCACCTGCGTGGGTGGGAGGGCCTGGCTTGGCTGTAGTCCGTATCGGTGTGCCTGGGCTGTGCATGTGGCCCTGGGTGGATGAGGACATGACAACTGCTTGTAGCCCTGGAGACGCCAACAGGGTTGTAGGGCCCCGGCTGCATCCCTCAGGGCTTCGGGGTTGCACGACACATACCAGGGCCATCCTTCCCTGCTCGTGGTGCTACTTCCAGCCTGCTCCTCCGTGCTGCGGAGAGGGGTTGACTTTGGGAGTCAGTGCCTGCCAGACTTGGCCACCTGAACTCCAGGCTGACCGTCAGCCAGCTGATGCTGGATGGCGACTGTGGGCAGGGGCTGAGGGAGCAGGGTAGTGAAGAGGGCACGGTGTCCTGCAGCGTGGATGGTCCCGTGGACCCCAGGCCGGTCCTCCCCGCAGGGAGCGGGCAGCCCCAGGGCCTGCCCAAACCAGCCCCGGGACTCGAAGGGAGGCACGGCGGCACTTGCAGGGATCACGCGAAGGCAGCAGCTGGCTGTGAGCGCAGCCCCGCTCGGCCCCGGCCACTGGGGTCTGTGGCACGACCATGGCTGTCCTCGGGGCAGGCACCCTCCCAGAGGCTGTTTCCCTTCTCGCCCCACCGTGCTTGTGTGTGCGCGAGACGGCTGCTGGAGACGTTGCCTCTGTCTGCCCATATAGGTTACGCTTCGCTGCAGGACGAGCTGCTGTCCCCCGCCTCCCTGCATTACACGCTGCCATCCCCGCTGCGTGCCGACCAGTACTGGAACGAGGTGGCCATCATGGATGCTATCCCCATGGCTGCCACCGAGCAGGATGCCCTGATGGAGATGTCCGACATACAGGTGTGGTCCTCGGGGCTCACCCCCTCGCTGGTGACTGCTGAGGACTCCTCTCTGGAGTGCAGCAAGGCCGAGGACTCGGATGCCACAAGCGAAGGCCGGTTCCCGGGGCAGCCTCTAGCAGACGCGCATGGCCCGGACCACATGGGCTCTATGGACCTGGTTGAGGATGACACAGTGGACTCAGATGCCATGAACGGCCTGATTGACCTTCTAGAGCAGGAGGAGGGGCAGAGGCCAGAGGGGAAGATGCCAGCCGGTGATCGCCAGCCAGGGACCGGGGCGCAGGACCCAGAGAGTGAAGTCTCTTTTGTTTCAGTTCAGCAGAAGGTGCAAGCCAGGATCACGGCATCGCCTACCGTTAGCCACGTCGTGGAGAAGAGCGCGGACAGGTATTGCGGCCTGGGGCGCCGGCTTGGCCGCGGGAGGGGAGCAGAACCGCTTCGCCAGCTATTGCCCTGCGCTGGCCCAGCTGCAATAATCTCCCAGCTTTGCTTGCTTCTCCGCTGGTCTCCGGCTCTGGAGCCCGGGCATCCCCGGCAAGACAGAGCAGCGGCTCGGGCCGAGTGCCTCGCACCTCTCTGGAGATGCTCTGGAGGGCTCCTTGCAGAGCACCTGGGAGGGACCCCAGGCAGACAGCCAGGCCCCCCCCCGCATGTAGGTTGTGCTTATCAGAGCCATCTCAGCCTGCGCCGCGTCCTCCCACGTTCCCGGCGGCGCAGGTCCCGTGAGGTCCCTGGCAGAGCCCCGCCATTCTCCGCAGCGTTGCCTTAGACCCTCGGGGTGGGCAGGGAGCGCGGCAGGGAAGAGACCCGTGCCCTTTTGTGCATCTGCGGTTTGCGCTGCTTGTGCCGGGCGCCTGGCAGTTGCCGTGAGCCGGGGAAGCCCAGCGCCTGGCGGGGTGCAGGCTGCGCCGGTGTGCCCGCCGGAGGTAGGCTGGTGCTCAGGGTGCAGCACTCCATGGCAAAGCTGACTGCCTCTCTCTCTCTGTCTCTCTCTCCCTGTTCCCTGTCCCTCTCCGGTGCCCAGGCTGAGGGACTGGAATGCAGAAGGCTCCTTTATCTCCTGCCTACAGGACCTGACAGCGGGCTCCTGGCAGGAGGGGGTCACCCGAAGGCTGCTCCTGACGCACACCACGGCCTCCGGGGCACAGGGCCAGGAGCGAGAGCAGGTCCTGGTGCCGGCCGTGGAGCTGATGCGGGTCAGCTCCGCAGAGGACAGCGACTGGCAGCCCCAGCACCCCATGGGCGGCTGGCAGGAGGAGGCAGACAGCGGCTTCTTTGGGCAGGTGAGGGGAAGAGCAGGGGGACCTGGCCCCACAGGAGGTGGAGAACCTGCGGACCACCCTTTGCCGATCCTGCCGCGAGGCCAGCCGAGCAGACGAGGTGCTGGTGGAGGCACAAGTCTCCTAGCACGCTTTCTGCCCCCGGGGGTGCCTCTCAGCCCCGTGCCGTGCTTGATATCTGAGCTCTTGCTCTCCATTTATAACCCAGCCGGCCTCCCTGCCTGCTTCTTTATTGAGGATCTGCCCTGGCCGCCAGCCCAACAGCCTGCCGGAGCCAGAAATAGAGCTGGTCTGGGGGCCGGGCTGGGTGGTGGGCATCCCACCACGGCCGCGTGGAGCCGGTGGGTACAAGGTGAGGGCAAGCGCCTTTCCCCAGCCCGGGCATGCACGGCCACGCTTGGAGGTGGTTGCTCAGCTCTGCCGTGCGTGTCTCCCCAGTCACGTGCGATTCCAGTGACACTCCAAACCCCCGGCTCCTGCCCGGGACTTCATTTGCCCTTGCCCTCCCACCACAGCCGGGGACGACAGGTTGTTGGCAAGCCGACAGCTGACGGAGAAGGGGGGACAGGGCTGTCCCCGTTAACTGCCTGGCTGGGGACGGGGGGTGCTGTCACAGTCCTGGCCCCGTGACTTTGACAAGCTGTGAGCCCAAAGGACAACCCCACCTGCCCGCTCCCTTCTCGCCGCCCACAGCCAGCTGAGCTGCAGCAGCTAGGGTTACAGCAGTCCTCCTGCAGAGCCAGGGCACCGAGCAGGGCAGGCTGCAGACCCACAGCCTTGCTCCTGTCCCAGGGGGGCTTTGCCCCTTCCAGCCTAATAGCATGGCTTGGCTCTGAGCGGTGGGCTCAGACCCCTCCGGGCACGCGTGCAGCCGCGCAGGCTAAGGAAGGATGTGGGCTTTCCTGGCCCAGTTGCTGATCGCGCTGGTGCTGCTGGCCTTCTTTCTGGTCAGCTGCCAGAACGTCATGCACATCGTCAGGGGCTCTGTTCGCTTTCTGCTCAAACACGCCCACCGCGAGCTGGACAAGGAGCTCGGGGAGAGCCAGGGGCTGGCGGATGACGAGGAGGCTCTCTCCACCAGGGTCGTCCGCCGGCGCGTCCTTGTGAAGGTAACGAGCAGGGAGCTGAGAGACCAACCCCCGGGGCAGATGCAGAGGAAAGCAGTGAGGGGACAGGGCAGGGTGGGAGGCAGAGGCCGTGGGGTGCGTGGTTAGGTGTACTGTTCCGCTTGCAAAGGGGCTCCGCTCACCCCGCTGAAATGCCCTGATGTCCCTCCTGTCACCGCAGGGGAACGAAGTCCTTCATCTCCCCGGACAGCAGGTGACTGAGGAGCAGTTCACAGATGATCAAGGCAATATCATCACCAAGAAGGTGAGTGATCAAACGCATGCCGCAGCCTTCGTCCTCTCCCCTCCGCCCCGCTGCCCTCCTCCTCCCTGCAGCCCGGGCCCCCGCGTTCCCGCCGTCTTCGGTTACGGTCACAACGCTTCTCCGGCCAGACCCTGCGCGCGGGACAAGGGCTGCACGTCGTGTGGGGTTCGGGGCCAAACTGGGCGAGGAGGGAGGCTTGGTGCCCCGGGGCTAGCTGTGATGCCCAGCTGCGCGGGTCTCCGCAGGTCATCCGGAAAGTGGTGCATCAGCTGGGTCCTGGTGATGCAGATGACAGGCAGGAGCAGGAGGAGCTGATGCTGGAGGGCTCCCTGCAGGAGCCCCAAGACCTGGAGGCTGAGGACGATCACTTCATGAAATACTCCATCCTGCACCGAGACGGTCTGGGGGCCAAGGTACAGTGTGGCTCAGAGCCCTGCCTTGCAGGCACCCTGCCCAGGGCCAGCACCACCTCTGCGGGACTCGCAGGCTCTGGGGCTCCGCCACCCTCTGTCCTTTCTTCTGCCCTGTTCTCCTCTCCTGTTTCCCCACTAAGGCTTCCAGGGGCAGCTCTTGCCCACTGCACCAGTCTTCTTGCTCGGTGTCTTCTGCCAACTGACTCTGCCTTTCCCTCTCCTGTCCTTTTCTGTATGTCTGTCTGTTCACCTGGGTGATGTCCTGCTTCCTGCCCCTGCGGCTTCCTCAGGAGGAGGTGCGAGTGCGTGTCCCGAAACCAGAGGTCTCCGGGGGCAGGATGGGGGCTCAGATAGTGAAACGAGCCAGCCTGAAAAGGGGGAAGCAGTGACCCCTCAAATGGCCTCTTTTGAGGTAACCCCACCTTTGCTCTTCCTTCTATCCCAGCTCCCCGTGCTGCTGCCTGCACTGAGCTGCTGGTCATGCCCATCCTCCTGGGGAAAAGTGTAACGGGGCTGTGCCCAGCTCTCAGTCTGCGGAGAGGGGTTGCTGCGCTGCCACAAAATGCTGAGGGTGGGCAGCGGCGTGCCCCTGCCGCTAACCCACTCCCGGGCTCAGGTGCAATGGGCGCGGGGTGCCCGCTCCGCTGTGGCCACAGTGCCAGGGGCTGCTACTGCAGTCACAGCACCCTGGGTACTCGGGGTAAGGGTCCCCAGTGACAGGGCCACGGGATTGTTATTCCTGGTTATGCTGGGCTACAGCAGAGGGATGATCTTTAACCAAAACCACTCCAGGGAGCGGATAGTGTTTGCGTGGGGTCTGAGCAGAGCTGTCCCCTTCGTGCACTGAGCACTAACCGTGCAGCCTTGTGGTGCCCCTGCCTCCCCTTCCCACGGGGTGCAGCCGGGCACCGGCAGAGCTGTGAGCTAGATGAGGGGTGTCACAGTTTTCCTGGGCCATGGCCTGCTGCCTCCGCTCGCAGCACTGCTGCTGGGAGATGCAAGAGGCTGCCACTGCCAGCCACGCATCGTGGCACGAGAGGGCGGCAGTGAGGTCTGCTGAAGCTCCCGCGACCAGGAAAGGGGGTGCAGGCCACGGCAGGATGCTGCTGGTGGGCATCAGGGATGCAGGAGTGGCAGGGTGTAGGAGCATGATGCTTGTAGGGGTTGAGGGCAGGGGACCCGTCTTTGGCCCAGGATGTTTCTTCCATTGATCCCCAGCGTGAGCACTGGATCATCCCTTGAGTCTCGCGCATTCCCTGCTCCCCCCCCCGCCTTCCCTGTTGAGTGGGATTTAGACCAGGCTCCGGGCAGGGTGCTCGGCACAGCACACTTGGACCCAGCTGCATCATTGTTTTCTGCACCCTCGCTGCTGAGCTGGCAGCGCAGCACTTGGGGGAAGGGGCTGCACGCCTGCTCCCCCGCTGCCAGGCGCTGCCTGAGCCGGGGAGGAGGCTGCCAAGCAGCGGCGGTTGGTCCTCTGGCCTCTGCTGTACATGCATGGCTGCGTCTGCCCGTCTCTCCTCCCTCTCCCTCCTCTCTCTGCCGTGTTCGTCGGCTCTCTGCGGGTGCTCGACAGTCCAGAGGCTTGTGCTTGTGGACACGTGTTCATGCAGACCGTGTCCCCGCACCTCCCGCCTGCCTTGCTCCCCAGACGGTTGCTCTTGCTGTTCTCCAGAGCGCGTGAAAGTGTGTGAAACGGTGTGCGATGGGAATGTACGGGGTCTTCCCCGCTGCTGTGAGAGTGCGGTGCAGTCGGTCACCCTAGCTGGATGGGGGCTCAGGGCTGGCTTTTTCTACCCCAGAGCCTACAGCAGCCCTGCCAGCGCCTTCCCAGTGCCACACTGTGTTTGGTGCAGCTCAGCTTCTGCTTGTTGCTGCTCTCTGTGAGCTGGGACAGCACCACTAATACCATCTATGCCGTTGCTGCTGGTTCTAGGCAGGCACTCATAGGTGCTCTGTCACTGTCTCTCTTGACACCCCCCAAAACTCATCTCGCTGTAGCTGGGCAGGATGGGTGCATGTGGGACAAGCACAGGGTGCAGAAGGGGCTGGGACTGCCATGTGCCTGGCTGGTCCCAGCCTTTCTCCCAGCTGTGCCACCATGAATGCCTGGTAACCCCATCTCTGTCTCTCCCTGTGTCTCTCCAGGATCTCACCTCAACACCAAACCACTGAACTCCACACATGTTCTGACACATACCTGAGAAGAGAGGAGAGGAAAGCAGAGAGTGGAGGGGAGCAGGGCTGGCTGTACATGTTTCTATAGGCTAATGGCATGATTTCTGTATGAGACATACTTACCGTCCTATCCGCATGACTGACTGACTGCAAGACGCATGAGCTACAGTACTTAAAACTGACGGAGGGGCCTCCGTCCCTGCCCCACTGCTGCCAGGAGCCCAGAGACAGCAGCACGCACCAGGGGCATCCTCCCACCTCCTCCGGGAGGCAAAAGCTGGACTGGCAGAGGGAAGGAGACTCTACCCTCGCACGTTCGTGTGTGTAAACGCATCCCCATGCCCGTGCTCCAGCTGCAAGAGGGAAGCTGGGGCGGCACGGCGCTGCTCACCGAGGAAGGAGAGGGGCTTGACTCCCCCCCCCCCCCCCCCCCCCCCCCGGCC